GTGCTTGCCCTGGAGCCCTTCCTGATGTCTGTCCTAGGCCGCGAGTCCCTGGAAGGCCTCGATGGGCTTTCTGAGCTGACAGTCACCAAGGAGCCGGCATCTCGCTCCTTCCCCCCCTAGCCCAGCCCTCACCACCTGACCCTCCCGCCACCCTCCAGACAGAGGCTAAAAATACCTCCCCTGGGGCCACCAGCCCCGCCCTGCCCCGCCCTGCAGGCCTCCGTGTCCCCTGGCTGCCAGCTAGGCAGTCCTGCTCTCGGGTCTGTGTTCTCAGCTTCAAGGTCCAGACCGAGTGAGAGGTAGGATCCAGGGGGCTCTGGGGCAGGGGACAGCAGAGAGGGCAGGGGGACCCAGCAGGGGGCAGCGGGGAGGTTGGGTTAGGCCCCGGAGGCCAGGATCACAGCCGAGTGCTTCGGAGACGCCCCCTGGCCCCTGCCAGCGGCCAAGCCAGGCTCCTCAGGGTGGGGGCTCAGGAGACAGGTTTCCCTCTGTTCCAGCTGGAGAGGTGGGAGGGGGAGCCTGGGCCACCCCCTCGGATGGCAGCCAGGGCCACTCGGCCACAGTCGCCAGCCTTGCTGGACTCAGGCTTTTTATTGTCCTGCCCACTCAGCTTCCTCACTCCAGGCCTGGGCAGGCACTGGGGTGAGGTTCTGAGACCCTCAGGAAGCCCCTGATCCATGCAGGGACTGCAGGGTGACAAGTGTCAGCAGGCACCCCTGAGGCCCCCAGGGAAAGTGGGGGCGCTTACGCCTGCGGGCCCATCGCCCCAGCAGCAGCTGGCCCAAGGGAGCACAACAATGACGGGAATGCGACGCCTGCAGGCGGTGGCCCAGGGACAGCCCCATCGCCTACTCAGGCCCCAGCTCATCTCCCAGCTGCCCAGGAAGGGCAGAACCGCCTTCATGGGGGCCAGGGCCTCCTGGGGAGGGGCCAGGCAGGACCCCCATGCCTGCAGTATTGGGTGGGTATTTCAAGTACTGGCCGGGATGCTGGGGCGTGGGGCCACCGGCCACCTGAGCTGCCCTGTGCGCGAGCCCGGGTTGGTCCGTGAGGCCCTGTGGGCTCCCAGGTGCCTCCCCGCTCTGGGGTCAAGAGGTGGCATCCCGGTCGGGAAGTCGGGGAGCCCTAGCTCCCACTGCCTGCACCTGCACCTGCACCTGCACCTGCACCTGCACCTGCACCTGCACCGTGACTGCGCGGCCAGACTCTTGGCCTCCTGGTTCTCCAGCTGAGCTTTGTCATTTCCATGCCTCTGGCGTTCCCACGCATTTTGTACCTGTGGACGCGCGGCCGCCTCTCTTGCCCAGGATGGCTCCGCGAGGCGCCCCCTAGCGGGCAAACGGCCCCTCCGCTGTGCAGCCTTTCGCCCTGGGGTGACCCGGGTCAAAGGCTTGTGCACAGACTTGATCTCTCCTAGGGACGGTTGTCTTAGGGTGCAATACCAGAAGGACATAAACCACATGCATATAATTACATGAGCCTGTAAGCAGCCTTGCTGACTTCAACCATAGGAGAGTGGTGATGCGAAACCCTCCAGAACGCTGCCTTTGGCTGGCCCTTTCTGTTTAGCAACCTCCAGCGGGCCACGTGGAGTGCAGGGTTCAGAGCCTGGGCCCCCAAGCCTAGCTCTGAGTTCAAATTCCAGCTTCACCACTTCCTAGATGTGTGATCTTGGGCGAGTGACTGAAACATTCTGTGCCTCAGTCTCCCCAGCTGTAAAACGAGCAATGATTACACCCACCCTCCAGGACTGTTGTGGGGCTGAGTGGTGAATGCACAGCTTCTCTGCATGCTTGGCACGTGGCCTGGTGCCTGGGAGCACCACGGGAGCAGGAGCTGCTGCAGCCCCCAAATGGCCTCCCCAGCAGTGTGGGATCCGGGACAGAGGACACCTCCGGGAATTTGGGTGCCTCCGGGGCCCCTGGGGGTGGGCTCAGTGTAGCCCAGGGTTGTGGACGAGACCCAGGGTATGGGTTCTTTTGCCAGCCCTGTTCTGCCCCGAATGCCTGGCCATAGGTAGGTCTCCCACCCCTCTGAACCTCAATTTCCTCACTGCAAACAGGGATGACACCTGCCCTACCTTACAGGGTTCTGGGGGTGGCTTGAGGCAGATGGCGAGTAAAGTGATTGGCACATGGTCGATGCTCATCCTGTGTTTATCAAGGGATGGAAAGGACTGATGGACAGACTGGATGGGTCACTCAGGAGGATGAGACCATCCCCACTTGGCTGACCCTGCTCTCTTCTCTCCTAGGAGCTCGGGCGGCTCCAGGCACTTCTT